ACACGGATCGATTCCCGTGTGACCTTCACAAGTTAATTAGCGCGCTATATCGATACTTGAAAGTTTAATTTCCTATATTTTATTTATATTCATACAACACTTCTTAGGCCGGCTATTATCAAACACAATCAAGCAAGAACAAAGAGATTGTTTTATTTGAAAACAATCATAGAATTCATTAAAATCTTTAATACTCTGCAAGTGAGCAATCTTTGTAAGTCCAAAGACTTCCTTGCTTGATGTTGTTATAGAAATATTGATCGATTCTGTGTGTACAGCGATGTGACAGCGAGATTGATTGTATATGGCACAGCGAACAAATCTGCGTTAATCATAATTATTATTATTACTTGGATATTTGGATCTTCTGCCGCGACAGGTGACGTGCGGGCTGCAGTGTGCGAGGTGGGTGCCCTTACGGCTTACCCTACGACACCTGCTCCACAAATAATGCGAGTTTGTAAATAACTTTCAACTGTTACATAGCTATAAGAAGAAATTATAGCTAACCATTTTGTTAATTTTAGGGAATAAAATACTGATACAAAATTATTTGTCATCAGTAATTAGTCGATACCAAACGATTAAACTCAGGATGATCGATGAACCGTGGGGATTCCCAAACATATATATTACACTTTTTGCAGCTTTAAATATATTGTAATTGTAAGCGTATTACCGACTTAGTTAGGTAACAGTGAGTATTACTAGTGCACATGCTATCCACAATCCGCACTTTTATAGAATTAATTAGCCGCATACATCCAATCAATGTCGGAGAGCCAGTAAATCAATTATGTTCATCTGAATGATGTTAGAGGTTTCCCTTAGAGATCGCGTGCCGAGTGCCACCACATAATGGCTGGTAATTTTGTAAAAACTTCACGTCTCAGCAGCACTGGCGCGGAAAAAGTTCGTCGCTTTCCAGACGAGTTGGCGCGAAATAGAAACTCGTGTGACAATGCACTGAGAGACGTAAAGAGACCACTTCTAGTAACAAAATGTACCACAACTACGATATCAGATCAAGTGAACGTCCAAAACATGAAATCAAACTATTTTCGCTTCATTTTTCACTTTACCTAAGAACAAAATTCCACACTGAGCAACAGATCGGAGTTACTTATCATATAACTATAAACAATCACCTGTAAAACACTAGGAATAAATTGTTGCCAATAATTTGCTCACAATATGTATCACAGGCCCTGTTATCACGAGTATTCAAACCAACTGTGTGTAACGCACAAAGTGGCGTACATAAAAAGATAAATGTAATCGTAAAACCCGGCTCCGTGTGATTCACGACCAACACGTCACTAATTCTATGTAAAATATTCTACATCACAATACGGAAGATAATAAACAATGACACGATCACTGTTCCAATTGATAATGTACCTAATTGTATAAAAAACACAAGATTAGGATGAAAAATATTTCGCAACGCTGCTGTCGACAAGTATCTAACTACTGCTGGATTTATAAACACTATACAGCTCGCCTGAAATGAACATGGCGCAATCTATACGGTCTTATATATATTTATTGATAAACATACATAGAGATTATGTTAATAGTCCAATTACATGGCCAAACATTTTTGAGAAAGTATTATCAATTTCGATGAACGTTATAAATAACAGTAGTCTATTGGCACACTTTAGAGAATAGATCCAATATCGCGAAAACCATCGTATAACAGTTGTTCGCTTTCTAACTAAAAATATACCCATATGTTCTCAATCATCGTGGTTAGAATAACAACGGCAGAAGCTTTCATCACCTTGGATAATGTGTATACTATAGTACATTATTTTGGTCTTCAAACAAGAATTTATCGTAACAGTTTGGCACCCAATTTGACACAAAAGTAGTATTCAATGAATGTTATTCACTGATCCCCCAAGGACCACTCAAACGAAAGTCTACAACTACCATTTGTCCATGACCTTCAATGAAGTTATACTTTTACATATCTAACCATTAGACTAGGACAATGACCGAAACATAATGTAATTAGCAGCTAAGCCACATTTACAGGCTGTTAGTTACTCTAGGAGTCTAGGACATGGTGTCATCCGTGACTCACGCTCCACTCTCCTATTTGGTTCGCGTGCAAATGCTTTAATTGTGTCGCATTTCGGACTTATTAGCACTTTATTCTGAAAAGTTATTTATAATGGTAATTGAAGGCGAACACTGTCTAGACTAGAGCAATAAATATGTCTCTCTAGGGACCTAAATAGTCCTATTCATGTGAAAACGAAATGTTGCTTTCTACTTTTGTAGGGCGCTGGAAAGGCTGATGATTAATAATTGTGAAGTATATCGACACTTGAGTATCATTAATCACAGTTCGATGCGTTAAATAACAGATTACACACGTGTCGTACGGTGAATAGCATTTGATTGAATGTTTTGTCGTTAGGACAATCGTGTTCATAATGTATAGGCTTAAAGCCTGTGGGGAGAATACCATGACCATACTCCTCGTGGTTAAGGTACCAAACACACCGAATTGCTATTTCCGAATTTTATGGTCTGGGCCTAGTTATATGGACTTAAATTAGATGGAGATTCTATCTAAGGCTATAGAATGAGTTACCAATTTTTCTCCAAAATAAAAATATCTCCAGAATAAGAATAACAAAATCAGGTTTGTAGTAAATGTAATTCCCGCAGCTGTGTGGCGTGCTACATTAAATTGACTATTTAATGTAGTAAATAGTGATCGGCGTGTGCAATAGAAACGCGTATTGTTTCAAATTATGTGTGGACTACTATGAATCGCTTTCGCGTGATATCATTTACACAAAAACAGTATTTTCTACGGCATGTGCTGTGCTATGCGCTATGGGAGAAAGTGCACGAACGGCAATGAGTGTAATGAGTACAATGAGGGCTCGATCATTGAGGGACGGGTAGGGACTAACGGCATCAGTGCGCGATCACTGGTGTTTGACTCGGCGAATTTAACACATTCGCTGCTAACGCGTTAATCTTATCAAGATTATTTGCGTAAACATCTGACTTGTAAAACTGTTGACTTAACAAGTAAACATGTTTGATTAAGAATATAAGGAGATTACATGTGCGTCGATTTCTAACATAGATAGCAGCGAACTGACGTGAGTTAGTATGGTAACCATGAGAAGCAGGTGCAACTGGTTCATCATGCAGACTACCAATCAGATCCCACAGACAGTCAGATACTAACTTATCATTAGTTACTTATCTAGTGTTGTAAACTTCTTCTACAGATACCAAGTGATAAGGGTTTGAATAAGACATTTAAATGACTGATAATATTAACAAGATTGCTATTGATTGCAACAGATTATCGAAAGCTATTAAATTAAGTATTTGATAACATGGAAAAAATCGATTAGTCTAATACTAATTGCTAGAGATTATTTGAAAGGAGGTAAGATAAGTAAAAAAATATTTTAATATTGAAAGAATGACACATTTCATCAGAATGTAAACAAAACCAGGATATGTTGAGCATATTTGTGGTTTCTTTTCTATTAAAGCTAACAAAACATCATAACTATATTTCTAGAAAGGTTTAGTAATTATTTGAACATGCAACTCATACTAGATTCACTTAACAATAGCGTGGATGTATTATAACGATGACAAAGGGCAAAATCCAGATATCCAAACAATATAGTGCAATTTGGAATTAACAACTTGTCGTAATAGAACTATGCCTTAGATTTATTCACCTCATTAGTGAATCTACACAGTGGATGACCAGCATCATTAGCAAATAAGTCAAAGTCAAAATCATTTATTTCAATTAGACCAGAAAGGCACTTTTGAACAACAACAAAAAAATTTTTAAGTGAATCTATTTGCTCATTCCAAAGTATAGATTCCTATGGAGAAGAACGAGCAAGATTCTCCGTAGGTTACTCTTTCTCAATCAGGTTCACAGTACAATTCTTAAGTTATATAGTTTTGTGGGCTTAATTGTGTGAGAACTTTTTTAGGATTTTGGTGTTACATTAACTAACACTAAAATCCAGTCAGAGATTGAAAATGGAAATAACCCCAACAATAAAATCATACAGTCTGGAGCTGACCAGTCTCAGTTGATGTGTATTGGATTAACAGCAGAGTAGTTATTAAAGAAAATATTACACTATATATATAGTGGAATGCAGATTGGAAAGGTAGCATCACCTTGGAGCTCCACTATAAGATAAGGTCAGCACAATCACTTGTAGTGATGGGATTCACACGAATAGGCCCAGTCATACCTTTAATATTGATACAAAGGTCAAGTAAAATTGAAAGACTTTCTGTCACTACAACTTCTGTTAATATTAGATTATATATTACAATGTAACATCATGACTTAATTTGCAATGTAATTACTTGCAAAAGAAGTTCTTATTGATTATTAAGCTTTCTATAGCCGTTGTTGAGGTAGTTATAGTAAAAATACATTGTGTATTGCTTAGATCTGCATCCCAGTAGATGAAGGTTTGACGGTTTGACATCCTATGGAGTCATGTTGTCAGTGACTCCTAGGGTATTTAAATCCAGTTATACAGGTTTTATTTACAACAAAATGAATAATAGTCGGAAATCCTTACACTGCCATAAAAACAACAAAGAATATAAAATAATTAGTAGCTGAGTGAATAGACAGTACCTAATTAATATTCAATCCATTGTTAAACTAGAACATTATTAATGAGCGTCAGAGAAATTTACACCAAGTGAGAAAGTTAAGCAGATTGTGAAGTCATGGCTGTTACTGCAGTTCATGGCACATTACTCAACTAAGCATTGAGGGCACAGGGAAAGGGACGGCATACAGCCACAGAGTTCAAGTTTTCTTACTAGAATTGTACATACAGCATATTGGTAAAGGATTTTTAAGAGAAACCATTTTAATATGTATACATAAAAAGTGCTAAGATATTAAAATAACTTTCAGATATTTAGATGAAATTGCGACTAAAACATCACAATTTGAGTCTCACCTTCTGCTCTTCCAGAAACTTTGAAGATAACTGGTAAGCTAGGGCTGAGAACATCACTGGGGACTCAGCACAGTCTCCACAACGCGGGAGACGGGAGAGAAAGCCCCAATATTACCATGATACACAGACACTTTGCACGACGCTCGTAATATCATTCAAAGATTGGCTACTGATTATAACAAAAACAATGCAATTAAACTACAGGAAAATTCGCAGAAAATCACTCAGAAAGCAAACGAGTGAGTCACATACGTCTGCTATGACGCCTTATGGCAACTTCTACAAACACTGAAGTATTCCACACACGAGCAACCACGATACAGTAGTATTCGGCCACCTAACCAGGACGGGAAAAGTGCATTAACACGTGAGAACCGAAAGACAATGCGCGTGAAACTGTGGGAGAAGTCGAGGCGTTGCCATTGTAGTAAACATTCATCACGTCATTGACCTACACACCACCGCCTCCGCCGCTACACTTTCTGAACGACGATCTACGTGAATTCTAGAACTTACCTCAAATAAAAAGATACCGACGGTTTATCCTCCGTTATAGTATTTCGGCGTAAATTGATTTCACTTATTTCGTCAATGGTCACTCACTTTACACGACTGTCAAAAAGGGTTGATGATCGGTGTCGATGTCGTAGGTAGCGACCTCTTTAGGGCGGTACTCCAAATTGAAATAAACATTTCCTTTTATGTAGGGAGATTTTGTTTATGTTGAATTTAGTACATTTATAAAAGTTTTTCAAGTAAATGTACAGTATAGACCGTTCCGTGAATGCTATTATGTAATCTAGGATATTAAAGAGTTACTGTTTATATTACAATAGATAGGATAGATAGACCATTGCAACCGGCTCCCTATAGCCCACAGCCAACAGTGCCGACACGTCTTCGACAGCTGAAATCCTTAACATACCTATGTAGTTTAAAATAGTTTTAGACTATTTTTTTCGAAATGTGTTTGAATATTTCAGGATCTTTTAAAAATCGAAATAATGCGATACACATTGAAAAATGTGGTTAATTTAAAACAAATAATGGCAGCACAAATAATGTGACATTTTAAATTTCGTTCGAAAACAATACATTTTCGGATCTTTGTTCTTGTTTATATGCTTAAATCGAAATTAAAATATTGGTACCTATTAGTGTAGAAACTAAACGTAACAAATACAAATGCAAAGAGTATAATAAGTATAGGGGATTACAAATGTCAAAAACTCCAAACAAGTTGCGTTGTAGGTAGGACGGTTTTTTATGGACTTGCAAAACAAACAAACATGAACACCCATTGATTCTTTCAGTTAAAGTTTATTAGAAAAGGAAGATGATGTCTGGTGTTAAATTGGAAGCCCTTTGGTCACCTGTACACCATGATAAATTTATATTATGGGGTCCAGACATAACCTTATACGAAGTTTCTCGGATAAAGGAAATTGAGAAAAAAACAACATGTACGTATTGAATTTGATATTTATTTGATTCACTGAACTTGTAGAAAATTTTTAAATCTAATTTATATACACATAAAGTTTAATTAGTCGTATTAATATAATGTTATGAGTTCCTCCTTGTTATCTGGTCAATGTTATCATAACAAGAGCCGAATTACACATCTAATAAGTATAATTAAGCTGGTATCGTACCCATAAATAAAATTAATGATTATGCACGTAATATCGACATTTTTAGCACACACAGTAAATAAAAACAATGAACACTATATGGATTTAAGAAAGGACTGAAATAGATAAATTATATCAAAAGCCAGCCAAGAGTTGATAGTATAGTTATCGAAATCCCATTAGAATATTTTCCAAATCGAATATATACAGGGTGTCCCTGAGGTTGACGATCAAGTGGCACCAGGTGATCGGCAAGGTTCCAACATTAATCAGAAAAATAGATTTTTTTTATTACAATGACTTATGTGTAATCCGTAGAAAAGTACACCCTGCGCCAGTCTTTTGACTGTTGTTGCTGGAATTCTTTATTTATTCGTCTGTATTGCTGTATTTTTATTGAATAGTGCTGCTTTAGTTTCGAAAAGAATATAAAGAATAGTCGTCTATTCTTCATTGGTTCATGTCATACTAATGCAAGTTTAAGGGTACCTTTGTGTCGCATCGCTGATCAGTTGAATAAATATTTTACCCACATCGATTTGTTGGCAGCACCTAAAAACAAATTCAGAAACCTTGTCTGGGTATCTGGTAATGATCGGACTCACTAATTATTAATTGGTACATACATTTTTTTCCTTAATGTTTATCAACGGGGTTACAGGGTAAGTCGACCTAAATCCTTTCAGAGGTAGTATTTATAGTATTTACCATTTAACTAATGAACCCCATCCTTTGCTTGTTTTTTGCTATTTTTGTGTACAATATTCTTTTTGTTGTTTTGTATTCTGTGGAGATTTTCTTTGGTTATACATTTATTCTATGTATATTTTAATATTTGTTATAATGTATAACTGTTCATTTTCCGAAATAAATAAAATACTATAAAATAAAAATATCATTTAGCAAACCCAGTATTCTGAATAAATTTTCTGATCTCGTTTTCGATTCCCGGGTCGGGCAAAGTATTATAAATAAAATAAAAAACCTTTTATTTCTTGCAAAATTACTTAACATGAAAAAAAAAACATAAAAGTATTACTGGGTTATAAAAAAAATCTCAGTAGTAGCACGGAGTCTGGATTTGTGCCCGGTATATGGCAATAGGGTCACCCCCTATTACACGGGACTCATAACAAAAATAGTGAAAAGTGGGTGTTATATTATACAGTGGCATAATGTACACCTATGCCTACCCCTTCGGGGATAAAAGGTGTGATGTTATGTTATGTCTAAAGTGGTATACCACCACTTACATTATTTCTTAATTTCAACACAAAATATATTTTTCAATGAAACTCCGTTTCCGTCCGTACATTCCATAATACTGGAGCACTGCAGTATAACATAAACAAAAATACAGACAAATAAATAAAGAATTGCAGCAACAAGAGTCAAAAGACTGGCACAGGGTGTACTTTTCTATGGATTACACATAAGTCATTGTAATTTAAAAATTATATGACTTAGATTTTTTTATGTTTTTCTAATAACTGTTGGAACCTTGCCGATCACCTGATGCCATTTGATCGTCGACGTCAGGGACACCCTGTATAACTTTTAAATAAATAGTAAAATATGTAAAATGAACGTAACTTCAACTTTTTGCCCTTCATAGTCACTCCAGTATCATCAACCAGGGGTGCAACAGTGTTAGCATCACAGAGTGCGAGTGGTGTCCGCTGTGTAGACATTAGTGCCATCCCTGAGCAGCCAGAGCCTCTGCTGGCACTCGGCTATGCCAATGGAAGGGTGGCACTCACCACATTGAAGCAAACTTACGATCCCTTAGGATTGGTTGGGAGAGAGTTCAGTAAGTTAATAATATTTACATACATAAGTTGGAGTTAAATTATAACATTTAGCATTTATTACTAGCAACGCATTGCACTATATGCCCCATATTTTTTGGTTAATTTTATAAAATTTAAGTTATCTTAAAAACTTGTTTTGTCTGTGATATTACATTACTATTTTTCATTTCAGGTCCTCGTTACCCTCGACTCTGTAACTCAGTGTCATGGAGTCACATGGAAACCAACATGCTGGCAGTGGCCATGGAGAAAAATCGCAGCGACCACTGCATCCTGATATGGGATGTGTACCGAGGGTCCATACTCTCAGAGGAGGCTAAGGGTGAAGCTACCTATGTTGCAATAACATCATCAGCGTATTAACAGTGAAGTACAAATGTTAAATGATAAAATGTTTGTGTTCCTCACAGTAACTGATGCTGCATCATCTTCATCAGTCGCAGAGGCACCTCGGCCTCTGGCTGAGATGGGGCTCTCGGAGACAGCTCACTGTGTCACCTGGGCCAACTTCTCCAATAGAACTCTTATAGCATCCATGAACCTTAAATATATCAAGATATTTGATCTTAGAGGTAATAATTTATTTGGAATCATAAATTACAGAGGTATTACTTTTTTTTATTTGATGGTCTGACGTTTGCCCACTACCTCGCCTGGTGATAAGGGATGATGCGGTCTACGTGGAGCACGTCGTCCCATAAGCAACCTATTCACACGGATCTTGTCCTGGGTGTCTCCTTAGTCTTTGTGGAAACTTTGCCAGAGTCTGTAAACTGCTTAGCAGTACGCACAAGGAAGCTTGCTTCGAAGCGCTTCGCCGATTGTCTTGTGGTATGATGATGGAAAGGACTAAGGGGAATCAAGTTGTGCAATTCCCCCGCACACTCACCGAAATGCAACCTTAGCCTGTTCGAGGCTTTGAAGCCGGGCCTCCACAAGCACATCATCGTTGATGACCCTCTTGCCACGCCTCTCAATGTGCTCTAACACACACCAATGAATTCTATTTGTGTAATAATATAATCATGTTGCTTAAATATTTGTATAGTTTAAAACGTTGCACAATTTATTGTAAATGTGAGAGCCCTGTAATTAACTAAATCAAATTAGACTAGTAGATTGCATTTATGTCAGCTTGGAGTTGTCATGCTCACTCAAAGATCTCGTTGGCGGTGGCACGTGCATTGGATCGCTCGATTCCCTACAAAATGGTTGAGTTGGGCGGTGCTAGGTTTCGCCAAATGTTCGTGAACGGGCACCGTCGATTGGAACTGGTCAGCTCCAGACTGTATCATTTTATTTTATTATCCTCAAGGTTATTTTCTTTTTCAGTCTTTCTGACTGGATTTGGGTGTTGCATTGTTCTCACATAATCGAACCAATAAAACTATGTAACTAGAGAATTGTATTGTAAACCTGATTGAAAAAGAGTAACCTATGGAGTTTCTTGCTCGTTCTTCTCCATAGGAATCTACGCCTTGGAATGAGCAACTAGCTTCACTTATAAATTTTTGTTGTTTGACGTTCAAAAGTGCCATCCTGGTCTAATTGAAATAAATGATTTTGACTTTGACTTTGACTTTGACTTTGACACTATCAAAAAATTATTTTAAATTACAATTAAACTATTTTAATTACAAATGAAAGGTAAAAAACTAACTTACTAAAAACTTATATAATTTGTGTCAGCGGGTCGATTATATTAGTTGTATAATAATATAAAAGTGAAGAGTTTGTTTGTTAGCCTATTTCTACATGGCCTTATTTTAATTCCTAGAGATGGCGACAAATTAATGAATCATTAATTGATGTAAGCATGTTACAATCTTCAAAAGCTTACTCAGATATTGTGGAATCGGTAATGTACCTACACAGGTACTGAGTAATGGGAAAAGTCCTAGGATAAGGAATGATTTCATTATGTCACAGACTTGTCGAGCAAGGCAGTGAATATGACGACTACGCGGTATTGTTACGGAGTGTCCGCGGAGCCCTGCGGCGGGTATCAGATCGCGTCCCGCGGCGAGGGCGTGGCGTGCGTGTGGGACGCCCGCGCCCTGCAGCGCCCCCTGCTCACCCTGCAGCACCCGCGCCCTCTGGCGCAGCTGCAGTGGTGCCCCACCAGGTACCACCAACCATTCAACAGATCATACTTACAGACAGTGGCAGACACTGTAACGTTGACCTACTGTCCCCAGACGTAACTTGCTGGTGTCGCTGCAGCGCGACTCCAGCGCGCTCCGCGTGTACGACATACAGCAGGCGACCAGCGACAACAAGGTCAATATGTCTGATAGCGCGGTACGTACACTAATGCTGCAAAAATATATGCTTGCTGTGATAAATTTACCACAATAAACTACTAGCCCACTTTGCAAATCTCCAAATAATAATATATTTGTAAAGCATAAAGATATGTATTGGTGAAATTTTATTGAAAAGGGAAATCTTCATATGGTGTTTTATTGGTACCAGCTGGTTGGACAGGCAGTGGAGGCGGAGCTGGAGGAGCAGAGCACCCCGGGCCCCAGTGTCATCGAGCGCGACGTGACGGTGGGCTCCGCCCCCGCCGCGCCGCTCGTGGCCTTCAGCTGGCACCCAGCGCACGAGGCACGCCTGCTGGCCGTGTGCGCCAGCGGGGCCCTGGTCGACTACACCGTGTGCGAGCGGGTCACCGTGTCCTGGGGCGGCGAGGGCTCGCTCGTCTGGACAGGCGGGGGCGGAGCCCTGCGCCTGATGCGGGACGACTTCTACGCTGCCATTAAAGATATCTCATATGTGATGAAGAGGAGAGCTCAGACCGACTATGGACTGAAGGTAAAAATTATGTTTCAAGTTTCTAACTACAAAAATGTTTTTTTTTTAAAAAAACCTTGCCACATTAGGATTTTCCCCTGTGTCGTGGGTGCGTTTACAAACATACAAGTTCACGTACACAATGACACCCAGACCTGGAACTTTGATTATACAATGTCTAGATAGAACGTCACCATACAATAGCAACAAAAATGACGTTCCAAAATTTCTTGCATGTGTGCGTGCGGCTTGTGGTAAATGATACCAGCTGCGACAAAAATTGTTCCATCAAATTTATATCTTCTATAAATATTTGGGTACATATTCATTTAGAAGTAAAATAAAAAAAAGTTTCAACCATCTCTTTTAATTTGATTTTAAAGTTTTTTTTATTGGACATTTTATTGATATTTATAAATATATGGCAAAATTGTCATAAAAGGAATTTATTTTCCGTATGAAAATAATAATTAAATATTCATATTAAGACATTTTTACATTATTTGTATAAAACCAAATTATAAAATATTATTGTCCTTTCCATCAAACAATATAACTTCGATCGATTCGATCTTAAAAAGAAGGATCGAAATCAATCTTCTTTTTTTATTCGGTTAGAATAAATAGTACATTTAAACGTAGGTAAGTGTTAGTTCAATAATAAAAATATTGTTTTATTTTACTAGCAAGTGAGATTTTTTTTTGTCAATTTGTCCCTCTTTATGAGACCCGTGAGAAGAGAATATTGAAAAATAAATTGGCAACACTGATAAAATATAGCGGCAATTAGTTAGATCAAAAACATAAATTGAATAATGTAACTTTTAATTACTCAGCGATGGATAAGTGATCTGTTTAGTACTTATTAACCGTCATTTATAATTTTAGCACAATTTTATGGAGCAAGTGGCCATCTTTGCAGTGTCCTTTTTTTGTTTACAAATTGATTTTGTAGCGTGCATACAGGTAGTGACGCCTATAGTCAGAATTTTAATTAGATTCCAGATTTGACAATAGCTACTGTCATTTTGTGAAATAATGATACCACATAATAATAGTGTAGTGATGAACACAAAAATCGAGAAACAATCAGTGTGTGTGTTTTATAATAAATGTTACAGAAAGTGACAGGATAGCGATAGTGATGACGGCGACAATTTATAAAATAACTTATTACCATAATACATCTATCTGTTTTATTTGTCATGGTCCTTCATGATTACATTTTTTAATTAATTTCACACACTATTATAAAAGAAAGGTCTTAGATCGTTAATTAATCGTCAAAACTAAAATATCGGTTCAGAAATATTTAATTTCCTGATATACTTAGTTTACGGGAGTAAAATTATAAACGAGAAGAATCGATCTAGAAATATTCCATTTCCATATCGAATAATTTCGCAACGTCACTATTTAGTACTTGTCATAACGTTGCAACACTGAAATTGTCAAATCTGGAATCGAATTAAAATTCCGAGTATAGGTGACACAATTGGTACTACTAGACGGGAAAGTGCATTGCAGTGAACAGTTCACTGCAAACTTTTGGGCCGCTTTTCGTGAACTGACACTCCATGTAGACATTATATAATCAAAGGTTTCTGAATACTAAGTTAGCCTTATTTGGTTTGCAGCCAGATTTATGGCAGAACGCAGACTTAGCAGATGACGATGCACTGAGTGGTCTGTGGCACTTCCTGGCGCTGAGCAAGTCCCTGGTGGAGGACGGGTGCATCCGCAACAGTCCGTGGAAGCACCCCGGCGTGCGCACCGTGCTGCGCTCCGTGGGCGACGGCGGGTACCGCTCCGAGATCGTGCCGTCCTTGCTGCCCGACCTGCCCAACCGCCGCGTCACCATCTACAGGTGGGACAGGGTAGTGTGTGTGAGCAGGAGTGCGGACCGTGTACCGTGTGTGTATGCAGGAGTGCGGACTGTGTACCGTGTGTGTGTGCAGGAGTGCGGACTGTGTACCGTGTGTGTGTGCAGGAGTGCGGACTGTGTACCGTGTGTGTGTGCAGGAGTGCGGACTGTGTAGCGTGTGTGTGTGCAGGAGTGCGGACTGTGTAGCGTGTGTGTGTGCAGGAGTGCGGACTGTGTAGCGTGTGTGTGTGCAGGAGTGCGGACTGTGTAGCGTGTGTGTGTGCAGGAGTGCGGACTGTGTAGCGTGTGTGTGTGCAGGAGTGCGGACTGTGTAGCGTGTGTGTGTGCAGGAGTGCGGACTGTGTAGCGTGTGTGTGTGCAGGAGTGCGGACTGTGTAGCGTGTGTGTGTGCAGGAGTGCGGACTGTGTAGCGTGTGTGTGTGCAGGAGTGCGGACTGTGTAGCGTGTGTGTGTGCAGGAGTGCGGACTGTGTAGCGTGTGTGTGTGCAGGAGTGCGGACTGTGTAGCGTGTGTGTGTGCAGGAGTGCGGACTGTGTAGCGTGTGTGTGTGCAGGAGTGCGGACTGTGTAGCGTGTGTGTGTGCAGGAGTGCGGACTGTGTAGCGTGTGTGTGTGCAGGAGTGCGGACTGTGTAGCGTGTGTGTGTGCAGGAGTGCGGACTGTGTAGCGTGTGTGTGTGCAGGAGTGCGGACTGTGTAGCGTGTGTGTGTGCAGGAGTGCGGACTGTGTAGCGTGTGTGTGTGCAGGAGTGCGGACTGTGTAGCGTGTGTGTGTGCAGGAGTGCGGACTGTGTAGCGTGTGTGTGTGCAGGAGTGCGGACTGTGTAGCGTGTGTGTGTGCAGGAGTGCGGACTGTGTAGCGTGTGTGTGTGCAGGAGTGCGGACTGTGTAGCGTGTGTGTGTGCAGGAGTGCGGACTGTGTAGCGTGTGTGTGTGCAGGAGTGCGGACTGTGTAGCGTGTGTGTGTGCAGGAGTGCGGACTGTGTAGCGTGTGTGTGTGCAGGAGTGCGGACTGTGTAGCGTGTGTGTGTGCAGGAGTGCGGACTGTGTAGCGTGTGTGTGTGCAGGAGTGCGGACTGTGTAGCGTGTGTGTGTGCAGGAGTGCGGACTGTGTAGCGTGTGTGTGTGCAGGAGTGCGGACTGTGTAGCGTGTGTGTGTGCAGGAGTGCGGACTGTGTAGCGTGTGTGTGTGCAGGAGTGCGGACTGTGTAGCGTGTGTGTGTGCAGGAGTGCGGACTGTGTAGCGTGTGTGTGTGCAGGAGTGCGGACTGTGTAGCGTGTGTGTGTGCAGGAGTGCGGACTGTGTAGCGTGTGTGTGTGCAGGAGTGCGGACTGTGTAGCGTGTGTGTGTGCAGGAGTGCGGACTGTGTAGCGTGTGTGTGTGCAGGAGTGCGGACTGTGTAGCGTGTGTGTGTGCAGGAGTGCGGACTGTGTAGCGTGTGTGTGTGCAGGAGTGCGGACTGTGTAGCGTGTGTGTGTGCAGGAGTGCGGACTGTGTAGCGTGTGTGTGTGCAGGAGTGCGGACTGTGTAGCGTGTGTGTGTGCAGGAGTGCGGACTGTGTAGCGTGTGTGTGTGCAGGAGTGCGGACTGTGTAGCGTGTGTGTGTGCAGGAGTGCGGACTGTGTAGCGTGTGTGTGTGCAGGAGTGCGGACTGTGTAGCGTGTGTGTGTGCAGGAGTGCGGACTGTGTAGCGTGTGTGTGTGCAGGAGTGCGGACTGTGTAGCGTGTGTGTGTGCAGGAGTGCGGACTGTGTAGCGTGTGTGTGTGCAGGAGTGCGGACTGTGTAGCGTGTGTGTGTGCAGGAGTGCGGACTGTGTAGCGTGTGTGTGTGCAGGAGTGCGGACTGTGTAGCGTGTGTGTGTGCAGGAGTGCGGACTGTGTAGCGTGTGTGTGTGCAGGAGTGCGGACTGTGTAGCGTGTGTGTGTGCAGGAGTGCGGACTGTGTAGCGTGTGTGTGTGCAGGAGTGCGGACTGTGTAGCGTGTGTGTGTGCAGGAGTGCGGACTGTGTAGCGTGTGTGTGTGCAGGAGTGCGGACTGTGTAGCGTGTGTGTGTGCAGGAGTGCGGACTGTGTAGCGTGTGTGTGTGCAGGAGTGCGGACTGTGTAGCGTGTGTGTGTGCAGGAGTGCGGACTGTGTAGCGTGTGTGTGTGCAGGAGTGCGGACTGTGTAGCGTGTGTGTGTGCAGGAGTGCGGACTGTGTAGCGTGTGTGTGTGCAGGAGTGCGGACTGTGTAGCGTGTGTGTGTGCAGGAGTGCGGACTGTGTAGCGTGTGTGTGTGCAGGAGTGCGGACTGTGTAGCGTGTGTGTGTGCAGGAGTGCGGACTGTGTAGCGTGTGTGTGTGCAGGAGTGCGGACTGTGTAGCGTGTGTGTGTGCAGGAGTGCGGACTGTGTAGCGTGTGTGTGTGCAGGAGTGCGGACTGTGTAGCGTGTGTGTGTGCAGGAGTGCGGACTGTGTAGCGTGTGTGTGTGCAGGAGTGCGGACTGTGTAGCGTGTGTGTGTGCAGGAGTGCGGACTGTGTAGCGTGTGTGTGTGCAGGAGTGCGGACTGTGTAGCGTGTGTGTGTGCAGGAGTGCGGACTGTGTAGCGTGTGTGTGTGCAGGAGTGCGGACTGTGTAGCGTGTGTGTGTGCAGGAGTGCGGACTGTGTAGCGTGTGTGTGTGCAGGAGTGCGGACTGTGTAGCGTGTGTGTGTGCAGGAGTGCGGACTGTGTAGCGTGTGTGTGTGCAGGAGTGCGGACTGTGTAGCGTGTGTGTGTGCAGGAGTGCGGACTGTGTAGCGTGTGTGTGTGCAGGAGTGCGGACTGTGTTCTGGGGGCGGCGGCGGCGGCGCTGCCGGACCCGTACCTGCGGGCGTTGCTGCGGTTCCTGGCCGCGTCCGCGCCCGCGCACCCGCACCACCACCCGCCGCCCCCGCACCAACCCGACCTCGCCGCGGTGCTGGTGAGACTGACTACTACGATACTTTTTTTTTTGTTCATAATTTCTTTATACCATAAAAAAACATATAATTATGGTCAAAAAGTCGTTAAAAAAATCGTATAAAACAGACACGGAAAAGAAAAAAGAAAGAAAAGAGCGTATTCCTTTTTAAAAGGCCGGCAACGCACCTTCCACCTTCTTCCTAATAAAGCAACATTGATATCAACGGCATTCGCAAGAAATTATATCAGATACCCACCACATATGAATATAATTTATTGCACCGGCGCAAGCGCGTCATCATTGCTATCAGATTCGGCGAGTATGCAGTGATGCGGTAGACGGTATCGATTGTAAGTATCGACATAAGGTAGTGTCGATAAACGTGATAACCCTATATTAGATATTAATTAATTAATTTAATTGTGTGTATTTATAAAATGTTAATGTTACTTTATAAATAAACTTTTTTACTGTAGGAAATTTAATCTGCAGGTGAAGAGTTTTGAGATTCGTAGAGAATGGAGTATTATATGCAATTTTTAAAGCTTTATTTTGCAGAACTTGCAATTTTTGCAAGTTGGTTTCGCAAGTGCTGCTCCAAACGGATGCAGGGTGCATAATGAAAAAAGGTCGAATCAGTGTTGTGTATATTTTAAGGTTTAGTACTAGCGCTAAAATTACATTTCCTATTCCAAATAGAACTAAGAGCACCAAACGCCTTAAGCCCTTTTGCTTTCGCTTTTACAACATGGAAAGTCCATGTTTTTATAATAACTATCGTGAGACACACTAACTTAACTGAAATCACGGGTTACTTATGTGAATATACAGCTCACTCAGTGAGCTGCGCGACGTCGAAGCGACTGCGCACGCTGCCCATGAAGAAGAACCCCTCTGTGGTTCGAAACTAGTAGAGCTTTTCTCAGTAAATTCACGTGAGTAACCCGCGATTTCAGTTAATGGAAAGTCCAGTTCAATTTGGTATCAAGATTAACACCAAGGCATTTGACTGTTCTAGACCATGGTATACAATGTTCGTTGATAACCAATGTACGATCAGGAAGTTTACGTTTTCTCGAAATCATAATTGCTTCTGTTTTGGAACTGTTCAACTTTAATTTCCATCTAGTGAAGTAGTCAGCCAGCAATTCAATGGACAGTTGAAGCCTGTTTATAATTAGGTTTTCATCATTAGATGAGGTGTACGATGCAGTATCGTCAGCAAAGCACGTCAAACTAGTTCGAGCTTGTTTAGGTATGTCGTATAAATACGCCAAAAATAATAGTGGTCCTAAAACGGAACCCTGGGGAACTCCAGCAGGGATTTGTAAGGACTCAGATTGAGTTCAGCCAATGTGCATTGACATTTTACGATCAGAGAGGTAAGACTGGGTGAGTTTAATTAGTTACACAACACAACAAAAGCTTATGAAGTAAACCATTATGCCAAACCGTGTCGAATGCTTTTTCAACGTCTAATAGCACCATGCCAGTTGATTGTTTCAAGTTCAGATTATGCGAAATATGTTCACTAACGCGAGCAAGTTGTTGTATTGTAGAATGTGAATTCTGAAAACCAAACTGCTCAGGAATAAACTGACACTCTAGATGGGTCATTAGACGCTTATAGATGATGCGCTCGAAGAGCTTAGCAAGTGACGGTAATAAGCTAATCGGGTGGTAATTAACAGCAAACGAATGAACTTTCCCTCGGTTTGAGCAGTGCAATTACTTTAGCTGACTTCCAATAACTAGGACTGTAATGTAGTTTTAAGCATGTGTTAAACAGTTTAGTCAGGAGAACAATACATATTCGGGGAAGGTTTTTCAAGAGAATGTTATGTATGTTATCATAAAATTTAAACTTTTTGGAAAGATACAGTAATTTTAATACCCACCGCCTCCAACCACCTCCACCAGAACAGGTACACAGACTTGCGAGTGATGTATTACTTCGTATTAGGATAGCCACGCCTTGACCACAACCGTCGTGACGCTTATCTTATCGCTTATCGATAGCAACTGTATCCCGGAATATGGAGAGAAACATGTTCGTTAATTCTGGTGTCATTAAGAGTTCAGAATATCCGAAGATAAATCACAAACAGCAAGATCTATAAGTTGAGACAATTTTTCACGAATGCCGTCCGCATTCAGTATAAAATGCGAAATATATCAGACTCAAACACAGTGACCTAGGTGAGTAAGTACTAGAATAACTTTGTCCATCATAGTGGGACATGTTATAAACTGAGTTTTGATACTTCTTATGGTGTTAAGGATCTGAAGCATCTCGGTAGTGATTACGTCGCTTCCTGTGGTAGCTTCGAACTCAGAAATATATGCAGTTCTTCTAGAATCCATTGGTGCTGATACGACGCTAGCCCAGGTGCGATTAGTTAGTACAGGTCGTGGTTGCATTCTAACTGGAGGTTTAAGTTCCTTTGGGACTGGTATAGTCAGACTAGCTGGAATAGACTTTTGGGTCGGAATTGTAATATTAGGTACTTTCTGCGCTTAGCGCTTTGCTTGTATTTGATCCAAGCGCTGTAGGTATTCAAGTCTTGTTGGACATTGGCGGTAGTTTCTCGGGTGATCTGCTTTGCAATTACAGCACTGAGCCGATTTGGTTCTGTCTTTCTTGACACGACTGCTGGTAGCATGATCACCGTTGCACTTTACGCAGCGTTCGGGCAGATTACAATTTTTAGATGCATGTCCAAATCTCTGGCAACGATAGCATTGGGTACCAAAGTTGTAATTAGGCTTAAATCTCTCAATTTTTACGGCACAGTTACATTAGGTAGGTACTTAATTTGTTTTTTGGTGAATTCTGTTCCGGTAGGGAGCTGTACCAAAATTGGTGGGCATGTGGATGTGTTGGTTGACGACAACATACGCTTTAAAATGGTTACAACGGCTTCGCTGAACCCAAGGGTTACTGGTTCCTCACTAACGGAGTCAACTGCCTCAGGATCCCTACTGGCCTCAAATGACGACCTTGCGTTTTCTCTCATCCTTTCGAGAGTGCGTGTGGAACAATAGCTTTTCAGCACGTAAGCCATCGACGTTTAATGACCTTGGTTAGAATAACAATAAATCGCTACTTTACCTGCGCTTCTATATTGCAGATGAAATTCTTCGGTGAAACGTCTGACAGTATCCGTATTTGTCTTGTGAGTCCACTCTTCGCATATTTGTAGTACAATTGTGGGTATCCGAATTGACTTAGCACGTCCGGAAGCATGCCTGGTCTGTGAGGTCACAACTTGACCGTCATCAGGATTATCTGGTAGATCCTTAAACCGATTTGAAGTACTCACCGGTGTCTGAGTAGGAGGGCACATAGGATTAATGTTGACCTTTTTCGGTTTCCTCCAAATGTCATCTTCAGCTGGCCTCTTGGTTTCCAAACTTTCTGAAGATGAAGATCTTTCTAGAAATTTATCCATGCTAGATTGAAGTGGCACAATATCGGTATCGATAACAACTTTATCGACTGCTTCGTATCACTAGCATGTCGGATGACTCATCATCATCATCATCATGCGGCCCGATACGGAGCCGCGGAAGGCTTAACGGGTTGCCGGGGCTCCGGCTCGAAGAGCAGGAGTAGGAACAGGGTGGTTTTTAGTCAGTAAGAGTCTGACAGTCCCTCTTGCCTAACCCAAGGCGAGAGAAGACTTAGGATGATTTTCCGCCCGCAAAAAAAATAAATATTATTAATAAATACATATTGAAAATCGCAAGATAAATATTTTTGTAGGTTATTTCCCTCTGGTCAAATATATTCCGAGTACATAAGACAGCACCAAACTTTGGCCACAGAACGAGACAGAGATGCGGCTCGAGGACCGCGTGGCGTTCGCGTGCATCTTCCTGTCGGACAGCGCGCTGCACGAGTACGTGGCGGCCACGAGCGCGGAGCTGGCGGCGCGCGGCGAGCTGGGCGGCGTGCTGCTGACGGGCGCCAGCCTGGACGCGCTGCCGCTGCTGCAGCGCTGGCTCGAGGCCACCGGGGACGTGCAGTCGGTGGCGCTGGTCGCGGCCAGGTGCTTCACGCCAGACCTGCTCAAGGACCCGCGTACTACAAACTGGCTTGATAGGTACGTTGCCCTCTACCGCAGTTAAAAAGCATATGTACAGTCGTATTGACTAATTCTCTCCGTTTCTGAAATGACAAACATTTGTCCTGAACTGACCCACTTCATGAATAAAATAAAAATAACTGTGAATACAATTTTGTACGAACAAAACGTAATGTAGTGACATATTTTGGCATCCCAAGTGTACGGTAGCGTGGCCGAGCGGTCTAAGGCGCTGGTTTAAGGCACCAGTCTCTTCGGAGGCGTGGGTTCGAATCCCACCGCTGCCAAAATGTCTTTTTGCTTTTTTGTTGTGTAATTATGTATTCTGTCGAATGTTTAATATAATGATGAGCGTAATAAAAATTATAACAATATGTATGCAACTATTTTCCGTCATTGTTATTAATGAAATAATGTGTGATTGATTTATTTATAATTCATGGAGGACTTACAGCGTATAAAAATAACAATAGGCGTAGGTAACACTGAGCCAATGACAAGTCCTTTGAATAAATTCATTAATATGGTGTGAGTACTATACAATATTAAAAATACATACATTCTGCGTTAATGAAAAAGTTAAATATTGAAACATAGACCGTGCAGACAATATGATTATAAACAGACCAAGAGAAACAAAAAAAAAACTAAATTACTATTGCTGCCTAAAAAAATCGTGGTTTAGGCACCTCTTTGCCGAGTTCACACTAATATAGTACTAAATAAATGATCATGGTATGTACAGAGAAAAAAACAACTATGAAGAAACTAGTTATTCATAGTTACTTCATGCACATTCTTTTGAATTTTGAATGATGGTTGTACGAGTTATAGCAGATAACTTCATTACATTGATTTGCAGTGAAGATGAAGTTCATATCGTGTAGCTGTAGAGAAACACGTTCCGCCCAGATGCACTAAATAGTTAATTTATTGTAATTAAATGACAATATGAATGGCGATTATTTCTCTTAGTTGTTGAAAGCTACCAAGTTATAAGTTGACTATATTTTAATTCGTAATTCACGTTATTTTATTACTCTAAATTGTACGCGCGTCGTTAGCCTAAAGTAGATTGCCGCGTAAACAAAAAAATGTGCGGTGGTGAAACTGTACAAACGTGGTGTTATTATCATATTTAGGTAGGAATACATACCTATACTCCGTCTGTTTAGGTAGTTAACTATTTGTAAACAAACCATAAAAAGAGTTCTTTATCGTTGACATTTCCATGACTCAAAATACTTCATAAGAAAATAAAATTGTTTCCATTTTTACGACAGTTTTCTCTATTAAATGTTATGTTTCTGTAACTTTTCACTTATTTCTTAGTAAATATTACTATATATATCTGCTTGAGCATAATAATTTAATAACATTTATTAAATAATATAATATTTCATTACAATAGACACCAAAGAGCCTAAAATGCCAGGTATCCAAAACCTTTGTTTATGAACGAAGCATTAGATAATGTTGTCAAATTAAAGAGTCCAATTAAGATGTAGCGCGACAACGAAAGTAGCGTGTATCACGTTTAGTCGGTTAACAGGCGCCATTGACAGCTCTCTCGTCGTTTGCGCTCGCGTTCCTATTTTGTTGAATTTATCTTGTTTTTGTTATTACGTTATTTAAGTTTAGGTTATTCATCGTTTGTAATTAATGTGTTCAAATATATTGAAGAAACTTGGCCCAAAGACACATATCCGTACAAGAAAGAAATCCGTACATCAGATTCAGAATAGTTTCTATTTAAACATGATAATGAAATAGACCTATAGGCTAGGCTCTTGTACGATTTAGGCATTTGTGCTTGTATGTGTGTGTGTGACAAATGAACGATGTTAAAGTGAATTTAGTTTAAATTAAAACACGAGAAATATTTGAAGTAACAGAAGGTTAAGTATCTCTGTGTCACGTGGTTTTGTTTGTTTACCTTTAGTTAATTACCTAAACAGATGGACTATAGGTAATGTTTAAAAACAAATGGTTCAATCAATCTTATGACTATGAGGTGATTTTACATTAGTTGTTGTTTGGGATAGATCATGATTGGGCTATGTTACATAACATAACATCACGCCTTTTATCCCCGAAGGAGTAGGCAGAGGTGCACACTACGGCACTTAATGATAATTCCACTATGTAACAACCACTTTTTACTACTTATTTAAATTGATATTATGAGTCGCATGTAATAGGGGGTGAGCCTATTGTCACGGTATAAAAAATATACAGTAGGACGACACCTTTGATCCCGTGTAAAATGCCGACATCGTATAGACAGTAACGCATTGGCCAGGGTTGTCAAAAATGTGAGCTTATGACACCGACTAGAAGTCGGTCAGTGGGTGAGTAACTCATCAGTACGTAGTTAATGTTTTGCTTTTTATTTTTTACTTTTTATTTGTTTTTAGTTTTTAAGTTTTTTGAGAAGTCTGTTTTTTAAACGCAGTTATTATTTTTGTATTTTATCATTTCTAGTTTAAAGCTACATAGACCCGTTTTTGCCACTTATAATCCACATAGGTGCAAAGTTCTAATCAATACAAATTAAACAAACCCAAACACAAGGTAGTTACTGCGGTAACGGTAACGGTGTACGTTAAAGAGTTGTATTTCGACAGAACCATCAGTTTAACCAACTTTGGAAACCGTGGAAACGACACCCATGACGATAAATTGAAAATTTCATGCAGCCGCCATCTTGGATTTAGATTTTGATAGCGCCATCATTTTCACCATTCTCGAAAACCATACCCAAAAAACGATACCTATGACGATAAATTGAAAAATTCAGGCAGCGGCCATCTTGGATTTGACAAAACCATCATTTTCACCATCCTCGAAAACCATGATAACGATACTTATGACAACAAATTAAACATTTCGTGCAGCCGCCATCTTGGATTTACATTTTGACAGCACCATCGGTTTCACCACCCTCGAAAACCATGAAAACGATATCTACCCATGACGATAAATTGAAAATTTCGGGCAGCGGTCATCTTGGATTTACATTTTGACAGCACCATCATTTTCACCATCTTTGAATACCATGAAAACGACACAAATAACGATAAATTTAAAATTTCATGCATCGGAAAACATACATAAAAAAGAAGAATCAATAATTCGAACATAGTGCCTCCTCCTTTTTTTTGAAGTCGGTAAAAACAAACACGCCCTGAATAATATTTCCCGAGCTGCTAACATCGTTTTGTTCGCAGCTCGGGATCGGCCTACCCGCATCTCGGCCCTCACACCCCGCACGATTGCCCTGTCTAGACGTCTTCGTTGGAGGACTGTATAGACTGTGCTATTGTTTTATACCGACCACAATTCCAGAGTCAGTGCTACTACAGACTTTTTTTTAAATCTAATAATAGGTAGGTTCCTTTGCCCGGCAGTCGCACTTGCGAGCCCTCGGCCGCCTGGGCAGAGGGGTAGGTAACTGAGTGTCCCGTGCAGCTACCGCTCCGTGCTGGACAGCTGGCAGCTGTGGTGGGCGCGCTGTGCGCTGGACACGTGGGTGTGCGGCGCCGGGGCCGCGGACTGGGCGCCCGGCGCCGCGGCCGCCGACTGGGCGCCCGGCGCCGGGCCCGTGCCGCGCGCCGTCTGCGTGGCCTGCACCTACTGCGGCAAGTCCGTGGCCGCGCCGCCCGGCCACGCGCGCCCGCGGGCCGCCTTCACCCGCCTCCCGCCGCCCGCCGCCAAGATGAAGGTACCCCCTGCTATGTCTACATACTCGAGTCATACACTATTTCTTATCAACTGTTTTGTATGTAGAAAAGCATACTTCCCCACGAAGTGATACCATAGAGACCGTGAAACAACGCATAACGGTAAAACGGGGTGAATAGAATTCGAGGGGTGAATAGATACAGAAGAGGGGTGAATATTCCCCCCTCTTCTGTATCTATATATGTTGGGAAAATATTCTAACATTTATTCACCCCATTCCTGTATCTATTCACCCCTCGAATTCTATTCACCCCGTTTTACGGTACTGCTTTTTGTTCTTTTTTCATGGCATAAGCCGGTAATCGAGCAGACGAATCACCTGATAGTAGGCAATCGGCGTCGTCCATGGAAACCTGGAACACCAGAGGCGTTACAAGTGCGTTACCGACTTTTTGGGGATTAAGTTTGAGGATCGTCGGGGATTCAGGGATTGGGGAGATTGACAGGGAGGGGAAGGTAATTGGGCCTCCGGTAACCTCACTCACACGACGAAACACAACGCAAGCGTTGCTTCACGTCGGTTTTCTGTGAGGCCGTGGTATCACTCTGGTCGAGCCGGCCCATTCGTGCCGAAGCATGGATCTCCCACACTTTGTATGGCTCTAACTTAAACTGCTTGTCTTCATCCAATCACTAATTCGTATTCCTCAATCTCTAAAGAGCTGATAATACGCTTTAATTTCTCGGATGTTGCGAGTGTCCACGAGCGGCACCATATTCTTACCATCGGGTGACTCGGCTACTCATTTGTTAGCCTAGCTGTGTCCCACAAAAAATAAACGCAATAACCAATCTCTCTTGTAAAAATAACGTTGTTAATGAAACTATGATCTCCTCAAAATGGTGTTACTGTATTGCAGCAAATCTCGTCGTGTCCGAACTGCCGCAAGCCGCTCCCGCGCTGCGGCGTGTGCTCGCTGCACGTGGGCACGGGCGCGGGGGGCGGCGGCGCGGGCGCGGCGGGGGCGGGGGCCGCCTTCGGCTCCTGGTTCAGTTGGTGCGTCGCCTGCAGGCACGGCGGACACGCCCAGCATCTCATCAACTGGTTCAAGTACGGATACCTATTGCTACTTGTCACGTCAATTCCAGTTTAGAAAAATCTTACCTTAGTCTTGGATTTGCTCCTGTGTCGTGGGTGCGTTTACAAACAATAACTTGTAGATCACATAAAGAGTTACTCTGTGCGGGAATTAGACTATGATTTTCGCAGCAACCAGTTGCTCGTCCACCGTGCCAACTAAGCAGTCATTCAATGACTCGGTTTCAAATTTAGTCGAAAGCACGACTGCTAAGCAAGTTTCTCATTCAAATCCTGGGATGGGTAAAATATTGAGTTTCAGAAATTCCTAGTAACATAACTTGCAAACAGAGAATAATTTTCTTAGAACACGTTATAATATTTTGGCTTTACTGTGCATATAATATAACAATTACAGGGTGTAAACAGACACCTCCCGAAAACGCTGACAAAAAAAATCGTTTTTGTTTACGCCGTATTTATGCAACATCAAGCTTGAGTGGTAAATTACCAACTATTATTACACAAGAATCATTTAATTCCTTACTTTTATGACAGTAAAACTTGGTTTTTACCATCACCGATCGGCGTTTCTCGAGAGAGTTTCGTTAACACGGTGTATACTGACTAGTGTATGGTTGCAGGGAGCACACGGAGTGCCCGGTCAGTTCGTGCAACTGTCACTGCGCCACGCTGGACCCGCCCGACAGACACTAGTCGCTGCTAACTATACCTTATGTCTATACGAGTTACAGCTACTTCAGTTTATGTGGTAAGCGAACAGTCTTATATTTTGTACCGTGGAACAGATCAATTAGAACAAAGAAAATAAACCATAGTGAGTTATTGAATCGCAACGAAATGTCCTTCGTAAATCTGTAATTACATTTGTTAGACGTCTATAGGTTTCATTCTGATCTATGCCTGTTATAGTGACAGCAAATATTTACACAGTTAAGGGCGTTATTCAAGAAGCCAGCGCTGGAATCAAACCCCGGACGCATTACTTGGCACATTTCACTGTTGTATTTTCAAAATAATCTCAAAATATAATCGTTAAAACTGATTTTTATTGATTGCAATCACTGAACACGAGTTCACTGACAATGTTCTAAGTAGTTGTCCGCTCGGAGTCCAAAAAAAAAGACTGAGTGCTGTATTGCAGTCCTCCATGTACTAATGGCCCTTTCGACATTTTTATTATTGTTGTAGTTATCTGTGTAAATATTTACTGCCTTACTGGCTGGCGTTGAGTTAGTTATATGTAGTCAATAAACCAGTAAATGTTATCCGTACAAGCTCAAAAGAAACTATCATATTCCCTGCTGTCTATTCATGTAATGTAAGTATTTTGTGTTCATAGCGTAAGGCAGAACGTGTCGCATATATTTTTATACGTAGCTTGTAAGTGATTTGTTATTTTTGTACACACGCTAGCTTTATCTTAAAATCGAATGTATATAGATTAAAAAATGCTGTATATATATTATATTGACACAGCTGATCATGGCATGTAATTGTATTCAGTAATTTGTATTATTACTATTAGCAGTTACTCAATACAGTTAAATGTTTATGTGTTCGATAATGTTAGTTAGATATTATTATTATTTTGTTACTATGTTGATGATTTCTAGTGCTTGCATTTATTGGGTGTTTATAGACAGTTAAATTAAGTAGCATACGAAATTAAATATTGTATTTACTGTACGTCAATTGCCGATTTTAACGGGTAGGTACTAAGTGACAACAGCTGTATATGTTGCAACTGATTTGGAACCAATTTGTTATCGAATGAAATATTATGTAAATAAATCAAAGCAAATACTGTAAACCTGGAGTTTTAATTTACACAACTTTTGTAGGTGAGTTTGACACTAAGTACCGAGCCGAAGGTCAAATAAAAATTCCTTTATATTTCCAAATATATATATAATATATATACATTTATTAAATAATCATTTCATCTTTATTCCAATTTAACAATAAAATTCTCAAAGACACAACATTTGTTTAACTCTGTTTATCGTACAAGGATCCCATCCCGTAGGTACGTTGTATACACACAGACAGCCGTCATACAAAAATATATAATTAGAGCATGCGAGTAACGCACGGACAAGTAGTCGGCTATAGTCTACAAGTTCCACCTTCCAGAAACACATTGCACTCATTACTCGGCTAGTTAAATATACCATTCTCTTATAAACATTTACATCTGACTTCACAATATATATCTAACTTCTCATACAAGTTTCTTTGCAATCCTTCAGGATTCATCACATAGTGAAAATATTAAATCAACACAGATACACAAGCCCCGCGGCGCCATGGCGGCGGGCCTACATATATATATACTTTACATGTACACCGTACAGTTGAATAGTTCTGTAATTCGTTTCATTAAGTTATCACACGTTACACAAGTGGGAGCGGCGCCGAGCGCGACGCAACAGACAATACATGAACAAGCCCGACACGAGGGACACAGATATACAAACATTTTATATCCATCATAAAAATTTACTTTACAACAATAGATTTGCACAATTTCCATTATATACACATTGAATAAATACTTTTTGTAACATCAGAATTTGAAACAATCTTTGGTATAGTAGTCGCATCAGGCGGCGGTGGCAGGTCCACTCGCTCACTACACCTTAAAGCTCTCGTAGCACAGTCGCACAGACACGGATTCGAGTACGTCTCACTCCACGCTACTATCGGCTAACTACCGGAACCGGAATGTTGAAGTGTCCCCGGCGGGGGCCCAGCCCCCAGCCCCGGGCCCCCGCCCGCTCACTTGCCCTCGTCCTGCTCCATCGGCTCCTCCGACACCGAGCGGGAGCTGTCCGCAGATCTGGAATTATCATTTGTTGCTTACTACGAAGAATACAATTTCAGAATATGCTAATACAAAGCCAATTATAGGTTTCCACGGCTAGCTATAGTATATCTTTACAGAGGTTTTGCGAATGTAATGCACATAAATGTATAAAACATGGATATTCATTCAAAAAATTTTAAGGTTTAGTCGCTTAAGCGCCCTGGAACTGCTTGTGGTAAATGGATCGACTCCTAAATCCTTGCACAATCTATTATAATCCCTATTCAGTATCTTGGCAAAATAAGTGCAATCCGCTATTCGACGGCGATTTATAAGTGGGTGGAGATGAAATTTTTTGCATAGTTCCATATAATTCTCCGATCGATACGGTATCTTCAGACGAAAACAAAGAAAGCGAATAAATCTTTTTTGGATGCTCTCAATGCGGTCTATGTACTTGTCATAGCAGGGGTTCCAGATTTGGGAAGCATATTCAAGATGGCTTCTGACAAATGTGCAGTATAGGATCTTAAGTGTTTTGGTCCTCCTGAAACCTCCTGTTGGGTGGATATCGTTAATTACATATGTGGTGGTTAGAACCAGGGGGACGTGTTGTAAGTGTCGGTGGTACCTGTGGTCGGAGCCGGCGTGGTGGGGCTGGTGCATGGACAGCGTGGCCATGGCCTGGCACGTGTCGGCGGCGTCGCGCTCCGTCTGCAGGCGGCCCAGGCGCGCCGCCGCCACGGCC